CTCTCCCCCTCCTCCTGCTCCGGGCAGCAGCGGCCTCCCCCCGGGTGCGCGCGCATCCAGCCCCCTCCCCAGCCGGCGCTGCGCTTCTTCCGTAACCGAGCCCTTGGAATCCCGGAGACCCGCCCCGCCCGCAGCGCGGCGCGCGGGGGACGCGCGCAAGCATCATAGAGCGGGCGCGCACAGAGCGGCCCTCCTGCCCGGGGCGTGGCCCCGGCCGCCGCCTCTTAGGTCCTCCAAGCGCTCTGGGCGGCCATCTTGCTCCGCCTCCTCGGGGACACGCCCCCGGCCGCGCCCTTCCGGCCCCTGCTCCCCAACGGGACGCCCAGAGCCCGGAAGGGTAGTCGGGCTCTAGCCACGAGCGAAGGGCAGAGTGCCTGCGGGGGCTTTGTTACAAATAGGGTTAAGCTCACTCATTATGTGATACCACTCACTTGTGCTTCCAACTAATACACAACAGAATAGATCTGAAATATTATATTCGCTAACTTGGCAATTTATTGAACGAGATGATAGATAACTGCCTCCTGCCTACACCAAGGCCCTCCAGGGAGCTCAGATGGCAGGAATGAGGTATACTGTCCCATTAGATGAACATCAGTGTTCCCCAGGGCCATAGACTAGTTCTCCTGGATCAACTTCGTAAGGATGAAGGAAATGATAACTTGGAATAGTCCCTCCAGTTTTATGGCATTTACCTCCAGATTCTTCTTAGAATGACCAGAAATCCCTCAATCCATCTAATTTTCCAAATTACTTGATATCTTAATTTGGACTTCCTTTTCTTTTCTTTTTTTTTTTTTTATTGAATGGTAACTATGTACATTAATGCACTTCTGGGGTACAGTGTGGGATTTTTACACACAATCCGAAACACTTCCATCAAACTGGTTAACATAGCCTTCATGTCATTTTATTAGTTATTATTTTAAAACGTTCACATTCTGCTCTTAGAAAGATTCACTTATACCCTTGTAAGATAAACCTCAGAAGGACTTCCTTTTCTAATACAAAGATCAATGTACTTTGATTTGGTAAATACTCCATTATGTTGCAAGACCAACGTAACTGACTGTCAGGAAGCCTTGTGGAATTCATTTGGGTCTGCCAACTCATTCAAAAGTGATTTTAAAGGATAATAGCAAATTGGTTGAAGGAACTGGTCTCTGTGCATGTTATTATCTAAAAGTTGTTTAACATTAAAACTGTATTATTGAAATTCAAGATACTATTGTGTATTATGAAATGTTTGGAAGACTGTAAAATGTAAAGCACATTTTGCCAGATTGATCAGAAACTATCTTGGGTTTTTGTACTCATAGGACCTAAAAGTTGAGGACCAAGTTTAATGTATAGAAAAAAATTGATCAATATAAAGTAATGAAAAATTAAGATTTTATTCAATTTGCCTTTGTAGTATATGCAAACATATTAACTACACACAAAACTCTGAGCCTGACCTTAGCTTTCTTTTAATGTCCTTGATTTGAAATACACTATCTTATGGCTTCCTACAGAGAATCTATCTAGAAATGAGTTCTCAGGAGAGGGGTCAGTACTGGAGATTTGCACTTACCGGTCATTTGTGAAAGGGAGGACAGGAGGAGACCTCCAAGCATGGGTAATAGTAACCATGAGGATCAAGAACTGAATCTTAAGGAATACCAACACTTAAGGCGCCCATGAAAGAATGAAACTAAGAGAAAAATGAGATCACAAAGTTTCAGTAACACTCTGTAGGAGGGAGTGCACCTCCTGACTGTCACACCTAAAGGGTCCTCCTGAGCAAAAATATCAGCAGAAACCGTAGTCGAGACAACAGGATGGGAAAAGATGTAGGTTTGGAAAATTTTACCTTTGCATGTTGTGTCTAACAAAACCTTAGGCCAAGAGACATAATGGACTTAAAAGCTTGTTTAAAGGAATAAATCACATAATTTTACGGTCATTGTTTTGACTTTTACTACCAGATTCTATTTACTAAATCCCAGTATCGTTTAATGTTCCCGCTGTTAAGAAAAATCTCATTTAGGCAATTCAGAGTTTTTTGGTTATGTGTGATTTGTTTCTTCTGTGATACTGTAGAATGAACTATACACACACGCACGCACACACACACACACACACACACACACACACACAGCACTCATTTATTCTCCCACTAAAAGAAGAAAACGTTCCAATTAAGAAAACAATAAATTCCCACAGGGACCAGACTGAGACCCTAAAAGTTTTGAGACTAGATGCAAAATAGAGGCCTAAGAGACAGATCTTTTGTTTCCACTAAAATACAGGAGAAAAAAAAATGTTTGTAATTCTAAGCAAATATCTTTTATATTACTCCTTAAAGAAGCATAGCAAACCCCCCCCCTTGGCAGTAATGTTGTAACCAAATTTATTTAATTTTGTCTTTCTTACAATGGAAAAGGTCTTATTAGCCTTTCTTAGGGAAAGACAAAAAAAGAGAGGATTATGCATGAAATCTGAGCCACTAAAGGAACAATGCAGATTTAACCGCGGGGAGCTCTGCCTCCCAGGTGTAAAGACAGGTGCCAAAACACCAACTGTCACCCTGGAAGACTGTCCATTCTTTCCAATATGTTTTCCTTTTTTGTTTACGAGGTAAAGCTGAAGATAAATATTGGTAAACTACTACCATTAAATAAAAAGTAGTTTACAAGAAAAATAGTGCTAATTTGGATTTATTATGAAAAATAGAAAAAATTCAGGTAACGAAACAAAAGAACTACTCGAAGGTAATGACTGTGAAACGTGCATAGTTTATTAACAAGTATATAAACCACGTTTAAATCTTCCAGTATGACAAACTACGCGTAAAAAGAAGGATTTGAAAACTGGAAAACCTTACTTTTTTCAGGGAGCATTTTGTACCAAGTGATAACAGGGGCTTTCGTTTCCATCTCTTATAGTCAAAGCAGCAAGGTCAAAATTTATCAAGTCATTAAATAGGAGTGAGGGCACAGCCAAAAATCATTTTCCAGCTCTAATTAGCAGGTTTTATGATTCACTGAGTTGGCCCTACTACTGTTCACCTAATTCCCAACTAAAATGAAACGCTGCTGGCACAGCCCGTCAGGAGGCCAAATGACACTTTCAAGTTCATGCAATATAAAGATGTTCTTTTATAATCTTCCACTTGGAATGACTACAGAGGAACCTTGTACCGCATGGTTCAAACTAAAAAGAGAAGAATTAATGACCTGAAAATAAGAGAAAACAAGATGAGATAAATTTTGAATCAAGAAAAATTAATATAAGAAGCATATGGTATTTTAAAAATTTCTGTTAGTTATATTAGTCATAAGCAAGTATTTAGAATTAAAGAATGCTTAGTTCATTTAACTCCCTAAAAAGTAAAAAACAAACAAACAAACAAAAAACACAGTATTGCTCATGAAAAGAAAATAATCTTTAGTTGTCAGGAGCCTAAAACACACTTAACATGCCAACCAGTGATTCTTCACCTTAATTCTGGCTGCGAAACAACAGAATGTTAGGACACGTGATCCATCAGAAGTGAGGACTGACCTTGACTGCTGTTTAAATGTGGAGAGCCAGTGGTAAATGAGTAAGTACATCAGGAACTCAACACGAGAGATTTCACACCTATCTCACGATTGGCAAAGCTAAGATTAGAACCCAAGTCTCCTGATTCCAAGTGTAGAATTTTGCCGGCTTGCCTGCCCCAGACTGCCCCATCTTCTGTGTTTTCTTTACCTTCACATTGGCTGCTACCTCAGATTACAAAAAGTTCATCTGCTTCCAGCCACACTCTTACTCCAACATCTTTCCTATGGCTAATTCTACTTATCACATAAGTCTCACCTTAGACATCACTCCATCTTGGGAGCCTTTTCCAACCTGCACAGTCCCCTTACTCCTGAACCCAGGCCCCAAGCCCGTCTGCTCCGTGCCCCCACACTGCCATTAGGTACTGTGTATTCCTTCATGGGACTTTATTGAATTAGTTATTTGTCTTTTGTCCCCCATGAGCCCTCAAGGCTTTCTTTACATCCTCCTTACCTATTACCAGATCTGCCTAGCACATGTGAAGGGTTCATTAGATACTTGATGAATAAATTGAATTAATGTATCTTGTAAAACTTGTGTACTCTCAAAATAATGAGCAGTACAATTTCTTCTTAAGTACACAATCACATAGGTGTATTAACAATACTTCTAGGTTTAGAGAATTTGAAAACAAACCCAAAAAAGAAAATTTGAAAACATTTTCATGCCCTAAGAGACATTCAACATTAAATTTGACACATTCCTAATTAAAAACAAAGCTTAAATTCATTTTACAAACATGTAGGATTACGAGATAGTTATAATGTTGATCTTTGGTCTTTCCCACATCAACTTGAAACTGTCACTAGTTCTTTAAATATGTGGTAGAATATATATTTTAAAAGACAATCATAAAATAAGGGTCTAATTCTAAACAACTATTCCTGAATCTAAATATTTATCTACATTTATATTTCAGCTCATTTGACTTCAAATAAGTTGACCCCTCTTAATATTCTCTAAAATTACATGTAAACATATTTCGAAGTTGTTTTCTTTTTTTATTTTGGAGTCACCTACAAAGTTCTTAGAGTTTTTCCCTTTCGCCTTTGCTAAATTCAAGTTTATCCCTCAACCCT